TGATTATTAGCAATGAGCACATAAAAAAATTTTAGGTGGACAAAACCAATGGAACATCATTTCCTGGAAATACTTGCAGAAGAGGCGCAAAAAGGTAATAAGTCATCTAATACCTTCAAATCAATTTCTATAAAGCGAGTTGCAACAGCTATTTCCGAAAAAATTGGAGTCCAATGTGACGCTAAACACGTGGAAAATCATTTGAGGACTGTAAAAAACACATGGAAAACTATATGTACGATTAGTGAAAATAGTGGATTAGGATGGGACGACAATATGAAAATGATAACATGTGACGGAGTGACACATGACGCTATAGTGACGGTAATTTCTATATACTATTTTTACTTGAAAGTTAACTTTTACTTGTTATTCTAATTGTGTATAATATTTAACAGGCACACCCGAAATATGGTCAATTTTTGAACAAAAAAAATTGATTCTTATGATGAGATGACTCTTGTTGTCGGTCAAGATATGTCAACAGGGAGTTTTGCTAGAACTTTTGCTGATATAGACTTGGATGATATTAATGAAGGATCAATGCCATTAAATTTTGACACTCAACAGGTCGATGAGGAAGTAACAAACGTATCTTCATCTGGTACATCAAAACGTAAAAGGAAGAATGTCCAAGAAAACATCTCTGGTGATCATATTCAGTTTGTACGTGAAAAACTTGGTGAGATTGCTGAAGCACTCAAAATATTTACCGAGGATCTTTACAAAGAAGTTATGTCAATGGAGAAAGAAGGATTTGATGACGACTTTCTTTGTGAGGTCTTCGATTTTCTAGCCAAGAATGAGCTTGAGGCTAAAGCTTTCTTGGCTAAAAAAACAAAGCATAGGAAAATTTGGCTTCAGAAGTTTACCCAAGGTTAAGATGTGAACTTTAAATGTGGTGTATAATAATTTATGACTTGGACAACATTTTAACTATAATGTGTTGTAGTATAGACTTCAATATTTGTATTGTTGGATTGAAGTGTTGTAGCACTAATTATGAATTAGATTATGTATTATTACGGTTGTATATTATTGTTGTTTTAATTTGACAATATTATTATTAGTACAATGTTATGTACTATTGTTGTTTTAATTTGGTGTACTATTAATTAAACATTCTTAGGATTTATAAACTTTTATAATATATTTTTAATCAACTATTAATATTATCTAAAATACATATTTTTATAAAATATAATTATATATAAAAAAATAACCTTTAAAAATAATAAATAATAAAACATATTCAATATGTACAACTTCTTCATTAAAAAAAGATTCTGAAAATAGTTTTTAGGAAAATTACCCAAACAGTGTAAAACATTTTACAATAAACCATCCAAGTACTGGAAAATGTTTTCTGGAAAATGTTTTACATCCAGGTTTCATTTTCCGTAAAATGTTTTCAGTGAAACAAGCATATCCTTAGTTTCTGTTTTGATACATCCAAAGTGGAGGAGCAACAAGGTTGGTAGTTCCAGTTTCTTTGTAGCATTTCAAGGTAGCGATTCGTGGTTTGGTGAAATTGGGTTCGGCTTCTGTTTGGATGCTTCTCTTTGATGCGTGTTCGTTTTAATAAGCTTTCGCGTTCCATTTTTGTTATAAGTTCCTACTGCTGCTTGATGTGTATTGGCGCCAGTTTGTGTTGGGTTGTGGTTTGGGGTATGCCTTGTTTGTAGTTTGTGCTATACTTGTATTCGATCCTTTCCACCTCTTGGTTAACTTTTTTTCCTCCATTTAAAATTAGAGGGGTTTTAATGAGGTCCTTGAGGTGGTGTACTTTATTTATTTCTTAATATACAAAGTACCCTCTTTCAAAAAAATTGATTCAATCTGAACTTATTGTTTATATTAAAAATCAATCTTATCGAATCAAATTTAAAAATATTAAATTCAGGTCAAGTTATCATCTATGATAAAGTATAAAAAATCTCAACTCTATTTTATTTATAATTTTTTTCTATCAAGGCAAAGCATACTCTTTTGTGGTTGCAATTTGCAAATGTAAAACGTTGTTCATGTCACAATCAAGTAATATGTATACAAATTTCGTGGTGCATGAAAAGTCTTTGGATGATTCGGATTTAAATTATTTTGGATTTGAGTTGACGCAAAATCTTTGGATCCAATCCTTTGAGTCCCACGCATGTGTTTCCCCTTGCCATTTTAGACACCAGCTACACAGCTTCATAATTCAACTCCTTGATCGCTTTATAAGCGTAAAGGCCGACATATATGTTATTTGATGCATTAGCTTAGTTATTCATAAAGGTTTGAACCCACCAACAATCAATTATTCCAGTGGATGGGGCATTAAATTCCTTAAGCAACGTTTGAATCTTGATGTTTGTAAATGGGGCAAATTGGATTGAGAGAGTCGCTCTTACCTCTGTAATGTTCGATCCGGGTTAATTAATCAATAGATCAGATACATGTGGTTATAGAAATAACAAAAAATGAGATAACAAAAGAACAATTGTATGCATTCTGGCAAGATATGACTATTCATGATATCGATTCAAGGTTTTAAATTCTCTTTGGCGAGTCGTAAGGTGCATTTGGAGGGGAAAAAACTTGAGAACAATATTGAAAAATAGATACACAGTTAGGGTAAAAATTGCAATGACACCTAGAAATTTATTCAAAAGATTGGGGCTCACCTGCACATGGTTCATGTGACGGCCATTCAGTCTTTTTCTAATTATATTCGAATCTAGAGTTTTCCATGTTGAATGGCCGGTGTCAGAAGGTTATACCCATGGGAGAAGGATGTTTACAAATCCAAACCACGTGACAACATTCATAAAACCTTCGAATATTTTATCACAATCATGTTCTTACTTCAAATCCTAACTCATAATGTTTTTCTACAAAATCTGATTTAAAATAATCGATTAATAGATAATATACTAATAGTTAAATCAATTTTCTTTTCAAAAAGTTACTGATGATATTCTAGCCGAAGAGATGTCTCGAATCTTACCATATCATTATATATATTAAGATCTTCTTGATTGCGATTAAAGAGACATTGATTATGAACCCAACACTTAATTCATTTAACTCATTGAATTTGATCTTTTACTGCCTGCATTCTATTTTCCTACAGGTTGCTATTTCTATTTATTTGGAATTTGGATGCTTTAGGTTCCGTAGCTCAAGACTATTATTGGACCAGCGGGAAGCATAAATCAAGTAATAGAAGTTCTGGTTGACGTGAACTCAACAACCAATCAATAATAAAAGAAAATATTATTTTTTAAATATTTTAGATTCAAATAATTATATAATGACATATAAAAAATCTGAACAAATTATATTTTATATTCCCTCAAACATATACGTCATCCCCATGTGAAAATGTGCAAAAGATTGCATGAAGATTTTATCAACTAACATAACAAACACCATGGACTTAGAGAAATGGTCTCATTCTAGGACTGTCTACAAAGAAAGTTCTATGACAGATTTTTTCCACATTCAAGAGGCCAACAAGCACATGCTAATAATGTATTATGAGAACATTTGGTTAAATAAGTGGCGGATGAACATTGAGTTTAAGGTAAATAAATATCTACCTTAAAATTTGAATTTTATGCAACTTATTATTTATTTATCAGTTATATTTATTGTAACTACTAGACTCGGCCTAGATGTTATGCCCAAACTTAGGTGGTCACATATCGTATTCAGAAACTCTTTTCGTATTTAAAACAACCTTAAAATTCATATAACAATATAATATGAAATATATCCATAATAAGGATTCATACGATAAACATATATATATATATATATATCAAAAAACTGTATGAAACATTTATAGAACAAAATATTGGTAATACAAATATATCAAGACAGTAGCAAAACACATGTCACCAAAATATAACATTTACAGAACAAAATACGTATGAAACATTTACGGAACAAAATACGGGTAAAACTTGAAAAATCGATTTTTTCGACTCAACTCGACTTGAAAAAACTCTACTCGAATTGACTTCAAGTTGTTATTTCATAAACTCGACTCGAAAAATTTTCAAGTTCAAAACGAATTGTAAAATACAACTCAAATAACTCAAAATTTTTAGTAATTAGTATATTAATTTTCAAGTTTGAGTCAAGTCCATCGACTTTGTATGATATATGTAAATCACATATGAATATATATATATTGTGTATGATTATAAAATATCATTTAAATAAGAATAAAATGATTTCATAATATTGTAATATTTACAATTAAATTTAAAAATAAAATTGAAATCAACATCAACAGTACTGAGTATGCAATTTGCTTGTCCTACTTCTGCCTTATGCTTGAATTGTTGTTAGAAAAAAATTGAAATCGTGTATATTGAGTTAAAAACTAAAATCTTATATCTTTTTATATTTCTGAAATAATTGCAATAAAAATGCTAAAAGTTTTTTTTCGATTTTTTATTTATTTTTTATTTTGAAAAATCATCCTTTTAATATTTTATAGTTAAATATGCTTTTTATATTTTTACTTTTAAAAAAAAAGATAATTTCTATTTTTATGTTGTTCAAACTAATCAAAGATCAACTCCAGGAGTGTTCAAACTAATCAAAAATTTAAGCTCTAAAGAAAATCAGTTCTGCTAGAATCTTATGATCAAAATTGTCTCTAATTTCCAACATTATACCCTGGATGAAGCTTTTCTTGTACAGTTTAGATGCTTCAAAAAGTCTTCAACTTGGTTTCTAGTTAAGTATATGGGCTAGATTGATGGATCGTTGTCCACGTACTAACATGGATCACATTAAAAGAATATCTTAATACCAAAGAATGCTTTCGTGTTCTACATACACAATGAGTACCACATAAAACATGCATACCTTAATACCAAAGAATGTTTCCTTTTTCCTTTTCCCCTAGAGCTTCTACACTTCCTACGAGTGAACTAATGAAGAAAAAGAACATAACAAGTTTATCTACAAAGAAGCTTCTGTTCTTTACATTTTGTAAAAACCAATGCAAATGATACAAGTCACCAACTTTGGTGCCGCAGATCATAAGAAACAATCTTCGGATCCGGGACGACGAGTGGCAGCTTCTCGATATATATGAAAAGACGCTTCATGTTCTCCCTCGAGATCAAGGATAAATCGACAATGTCATTATTGCTTGTGTATATCCAAAGATCACCAGAATCTACTCTTTTCAGGCTGTCCCGACAGAAGGGGCACGACTGAGATTTTATTCGCCTAAAAACACCATGAGAGCATGTGTATATTATCTTTGGTAGTCGAGATAGTCCGTCGAAAAAGGCTAGTGCTAGGATTATTTGCCAAGAGAAGAGCTTGAAAATTGAGCTCCTAAGCTCTTGATGTCTAGCTAATATTGATCATGCATAACTTCAGGCTAATTACTTGATAATCAAGAAGCAAAAGTAGAAAATGAGCAGGTTTGATAAAGAGTGCACAGTAGGACAGCTTACCAAGTTTGATAGCATTTCATACACATGGAATGGTTGCAATGAGGCAACACGATCTTGCTGTGCATCTCCATGCAAATCCCGCATTCTTCTTCTCTCTCTAAATCGATTTCTGATATCTTTCCTTTATTCATTTCATCCCTTTTCTTGAACTTTGCAGCACAAATTTCTTTCTGTTTCCTCTCATCCACATCCGTAATTCCTCGAGATAGTTGCAACAATGATGGAAAGATCACCCCTGTCACGATGATCCAAAGACCAAACAACACAAATAGTGTTAAGATTTTATCAGAAGTTAAGATAGTTATGAATTGGACTCATGCGCAACAACAAAGGATACTCTCTTACACACCATAGAATTCTCTTATGCTAGCTTTCCTTTCATGGATAGACATGGTGGTTTTACCATCAGTGTATGCCTTCAGAGAAAGAACATTACAAATTAATGTCCCTGAAATGATATCGTTTAAAACTTGACCGGAAACATTAACGGATTTGTTACACAAGCACTTGCAAATTACCTTGTATATAAGGATTCTGAGAAATCCCAAGGCACCGGCAAGATGACAATCAGTCCACTGGACGAGGAAAAGGAAGAAATGAGCAGCTGGACTGTAAGATAATCGCATCTGAAGGCAAGAACCATCATATTCTCTTGGATAATCAGAAGCCCTGATCATTCAAAGAAATTACACGCATCAGAGAAAACAAAAGGCGAACAAAAATTAGAATGGGTCACATTACTTGGATATCTCAGCAGTGGTTGCATTCAAGATTCAACAAGAACATGATAGTATAATGTGGTCCCCTATTATACTAATCAACGTAGATGTACATGTAGAACGGACATGAGACTATGACGAACAGACTCTTCATTTTTCATGAAGTACCCGTGTTGGACACTCGTCTTGAACATTAATGACTCGGATGTATGACGATAGACCTCCAAGAATCCTCAGATACACGAAAAACTTTTAAGAAAAACCAAACCATACACATATTCGACACTAGCAACGGTTCCAGTTTTACATGTTCCTACTCTGTTTTACTCTTTTCTGGCAAGGGATGCCACTGATTCCAGGGATTTAAATAGCAGTTGTTATATAGCGGTAACGGTACTGTCTGAAACCATTATTACATGACCATGATACATGCAATGACTACAATAGCACCAGCTATGTTCGCAATAGCGATAATCGCAAGGCAACCGCTATTTAAATCCCCAACTGATTCAGCACGACTTTTGTAGTAAAAATTCTATTTTCAAACTTGAAATTCTAAAACCATATCCCAAATATCTTAAAGCTTGACGATGAAAACGAACAACTACTTACTTTTTCATTACTGTAGGAGTTATCTAATTAAGCAATGAATATTCAATAAAACAGCAAAAGAATTACCAAGAACAATTCCAATTAAGCAAAAGCAATCAATATAGAACCATGGCCATGATAAAAGTCATCAATCTGAAAATTTGAAGTCCTCCCAAAGTAACAAATATGTTAACTAATCAAATTACAAGAGTTCAAATACTACGCTATAAGATAATACAACGAACAATATCACACACTGGATACTTGAAAGATTTTTTTTTTAAAAAAAAACCTCTACATAATTAAAGACTCAAACAAGCTTTAGTGTAAGAAAAGAGAGAAAATTATGGTGAATCACTGCTCATCTACAGAATATCAAAGAAGGAAGAATAAATTACAGGGTATTGGCGAACTGGATATCAGCTTCAAGAGCCTTGAGAGAATCCTTGAACGATTTCCTCATTTCCCAGCCTCTGTATTCTGTTCTCTTTTTGCTAAAAAACCTATAACTGATTCACAGCTCAAAATCCAAAACCCCAACAACCCATTTACCTCAAACAACTATTCCGCACATCACCATTTAAAAAAGAAGGCAGACCCAGTAATTAGCTTAGATTACTCTTTACTCTCTGTATAACGAAACCAAATTTAAAATTTAGAAGAAGCTGAAGAGCGTGAGAAATGGAAGAAAAAAAAATAATCTGCTGAGCTTTCGCTTCGAGCACACGTAAATCTCTCAGCAGGCAGCTATAATTTTTTGGGGTGAAATTCATGAATGGCCGACTAAATTATGTTGAAATGATTTTGTAGCTATTAAATTCTTATTACATTTATTAAATTGTTGTAAAATAGTGATACTTTTTTTAATATAATATATTTTAATGAATATTTGATACTGATTTGATAAAATTATAGGTTTATAATTATTTGATAAATTTAATAATTATTTTGTAATTTTTAAAAGTTTAGTAGCTACAATTATTATTTTAATATAATTTAGTGACGTATTTATGCATTTTACTCATTTTATAAATATTTATATTTTCCAGTTTCTTGTCACTGCCAAACTACGCTACTTAGTTTTGGGTGTACGGAGGATTGTGTGCACTTACGAGTGAAAATAAAGTTGTAGTTGTAGTTTATGTACTAGATAAAACTAAAGGGAGGAGGAAAGCAAAAGAACGACACGTGGAAACATGCATGATGTGATAAACGGTTCTCATGATGTGTGGTATGATGATCGGGTGCCACGTGTCTTTGATTGGTGAAAGCATGGATCCCCACCGCAAACAAACCTGTTCACTTTTCATACAGCTTTTTCAATGTAGTTAATGAAAACATAAAAATTATAAAATTGGGGTTTAATATAAAAATAAACGTTTAAGTTATATCTAAAAGTAATTTTAGATATCTAATTTTTTTTTCGTTAAAATTAATTGTTTAATATTTTTAAAGATTACACTTTTATATGCATACGGTTAAAATTGATCATTAATTGACGTATGTCAGGTTTATACAAATTTTATTTAAAAAATTTGAAATTTTATATGTATGACATGTGTCATTTAACGGTTAAATTTAACGGTGTTAATAGTATAGACACCTAAAAATATAACGTTGAAAACATTAAACACTTATTTTTAATGAAAAATTCTTTAGGTATAATTTGTACACTTATTTTTACTTTAAGCCTAAAAAGTATATAACATAATTTTTGCTATTAATGTTTATATGGTTAATTAAATATTTAATTTGATTAAGTACATAATTGCATCAATTAAAATTGATTAATATTATTCGATCAAAACATAATAAACTTAATATCATTGCTTTCGTACAATCTATTAAATTATATGTTTAATTTAATAGAGGGTAAAATAATACAATATTTTAAAAATTAAAATTTGAAAATAAGATTTAAATTATTTAATATTAATTGAAAATCGAAATTGTACTTGTCTATCTAAACCAACTACAACGATGCTTTAAACATAAGAATTGGAATATTAATAGGTACAGGTACCTAGAAAAGAAGAGAGTGACCATGATTTCGCCGGCACAGTTTGTCCCTTTATTAGGTATTTGCCACAATAATTTCAGCTCAAGAAGAAAAAACATAAAGGAAAAGTTTAGAACAAAAAGCAAGCAAAAGCTACAGTTTGTCGCTACAAAGTTAATTAATTAGGTGCTAATACAAATCTCACACGGCAAAGAAAAGTTTCCCCAAACAGTATTAAAATAATAATAAATATCTAATTTCTTTATATTTTATAACCTTAAATAAATATCAACATATTTAAAGACATAATATTAAAATTAGTTGTCGATATTTACCTATAATAGTTATTTTATTCTTTATTTTTTAGATTATTTGAGTTTATAACATTTTAATTTTTTCATCAAAATAATCTTTGTTGATTGAAAACTATTTATTGACCGTCAAAAGATATTGATGACATGATATGTGTTTAATTGTTAACGTGTCATATATCTTTAGAGGTAGAATTAAGAATTTATTATAGCAGGAGTTAAAGTATTTTTTATTTTCCATAAACTCAATGAAGGGATCTAATAAATTTTTCTTTAAATATATATATTTTTAATATTAAATAATAATTACAAAAATAATTGGTGGGGCCTTTCGCCCTTGCATATCATACCAATATTTTGAGTGTCGTAATATATATTATTTTATAATTTTAGATGACGTGATAATTTAACTTATGTAAAAATATCATATCAATAATGTATATTAATCTTTAATCAATTAATGAATTTCATTTAACATAATATTCTAACAAAATGGAAACACTAAAAAATTAAATACTCTAAAAAAGTAAGGACTAAAATAATCATTCAATAAACATTGTGAGTTAATTTTAGTATTATATTTATTTTAAACTCTATTTGTGTACGTAGAAAGTAATAGTTAAATAAATACCGAAAATAATATGTTAAAAAGGTAAGTTAACACTCCGTGACGAAATTGACATGAAGATAATATAAAATATTTATGGGTTCAAATGAAAAGGAAAAGAAAGACAAAAAAGAAGTTAAATGGTATGACCAATTTGTAAGGAGAGTAGACAAAAAATAAAAACCGGTTCTAAACTATGTTTGGTGCATTGTCATAATTGTAATCTTGTAAACCGATCATGTAATCTTAATTATTAAAAAGAATATTATTTTTTTTAAAAATTTAAATTTAAGTAATTGTATCTGTATGGTATAAATTATCAATAATTAAAAAATATTATAAACATATAATATTTTATAATCATTTCAGATTATATAATATATATATATAGTCTTATAGGGTAGAGGATAATTCTAACTTTTGATTTTTCAACAAAATATTTTTTATCTATTTTAACTTTAAACTTTTATCAATACGAATCAACTGAAAAAATAATAATAAATTTATTAAATTAATGTTGCTTATTTTTTTTATTAATGTAAATTATTTTATTATTTGTGTAAAAGTTCAAAAATAATACTTAAATATAAAATTTATTAGAAAATATAAATGAATATATTGATCGGTCTCGATAACAAAAGAGAGATTTATCTTTAAACATATCAAATTTGAGCGGCTGCAAGAATGTGTGACGTTATTATTGGTTTGAGCCGCAAAATGGAAGTGTCCGCATGCAGGGGCGAATCATGATAATTCATGTACCCAGAAGTATAATAGATTGGATCTTCAACTGGAAAGAGACATCTTGGCTGACTGCTAAATCCGCAGTTTCTTATCAAAGTTGAACACGCAAGAGCATTTGCATGCATGTATCAACTGGGGTTGCTACTACTATTTGGATTAACTCTAATTAAAACCCAACTTTAAGTCATATCATATCGACAAGTATGTACATCACAACTCATTGTTACTAACATTTACCATATTGTTCAACAATGTTGATAAAATTATTACAAAATCAGATGTTAGCATTGATTAAACGGTATAATAATCGTATCGTCATAATCTACTGTTTTAAAAATGAATTCATCTTCATGCGTGTAATCGTCACAATAAATAAATGACTCTTTAAGATTAATACGATTTTCTGAATTTTGTATAACCAAAAAATGAAGTAGAATTTGATGGTACTATTCTCCCCTCAAAATCAAAACTCGGAAAGAATATGAAAAACAATATAAGGAATAACGGTGTTTTAAAGCAAATGATTTTACTTAAATAACCTGAGAAGAATTGTGCCACTATCTATAAGCTAATTAGTGAGGATAAAACGTCATTCAATCTAACAATATTAAAATATTATTTAAAACAAAACTAAATAACATTAAAATTACTTTAATTCTTAGCATTAACAAGAAACAACAGTGTTAGAAAGATGGCTTAGAACATAGTAGCATCAAAAAAGGAAAGTGTGGAAATTTTCCAGGGAATTTGATGAAATCTTATCGGTCAGCTACAAACACTGTTTTGAAAATCGGATCGGATCGGTCAGTTCAACCGGGAACCACTGCTTGGTCCAATTCATTCTACACCGGTTAAACCACTACTAATGAACCGGAAGGAATTGTTGAATCGGTTGTGAACCGTTGAATCGGACCGGACCGTGAACCGGTTGAAAACAGGTTTTGTTTTTAAAAAAAAAATTAAATCAAACGGCGTCGTTTGTTAAACGAGCCGAGTCGAACTCGAAATCTTTAAAAGTAAGCTCAACTCGACTCAAAAACTCACGAGCTAAAAATTATCAAGTTCAACTCGAACTTGAAATATAATATTGAAACTTGAACTCAAAAAGGCTCAAACTCAAAAAAAAAAATTAGAAGCTCGATTGAAGCCTGAAATTCGAACTCGATTGAAGCGAAAGAATAGTTCGCTCTGTGCTCACCAAAAGGCTCCATGATTTTGAATGTCAAATTATCTCTATTATTTATAGAAGTCAGTTGGGATGCTCTTCTATGTTTCTTAGTCATGTGGGATTGTTTTGTTTTCATATTTTTACTCTTTAGACTTTTGTGATGCTCTTCTATGTTTCTTAGTCATGTGGGATTTTTTTTTTAAATTAAACCAAACGACATCGTTTGTTATGATTTTTTTAGCCCAAATTTTATTTTTTTATTATAATTATATAATTATATTTATTATTTAATATGTTTTACCTTAAATATTATGTTGTAGTTGATTTGAATCATTTTGTTTCACTTGATTTTATGGTTTTTAACTTATACATATTATAACTTGTTTTGAATATGACTTGTGATATAAAAAATTATTTTTTATTAAATGATTTTTTATATTTTTATTTAATTTTTTAAATAAATAATTAATTATAACATCGTTCGGTTCTTCCGATCGATCTGACCAATTCAACTGATTAAACCAGTGAACCGATAGTACAGCCGATTCGTTAATCGGTTCTGAAACCTATGGCTACAAATAACTTTGGCTAGAAACCTAATACGTATAAAGGTGTCACCTTTTTCACCATTAATTACCATACCCCAAACTTAAAATAGCTAAAAGTAAACAAAATTTTGATTATTTCAACAATAAATTTTTTTATCACTAAAATTACTAAATTTATCACGATATATTTATTCTGATTAATTTTATTTATTGTCATGTTTGTTAGAATAACTTTGTCATGTAAAGTATATTATGATAAAATTATATTCGTTATCATTATATAGTATTTATTGTAACAATGAAATTTTGTTAATATAATTAACTTATTACAATAAAATATATGTCACAATCAATTA